AAGAAGAGAGAGAGAGAGAGAGAGAGAGAGAGAGAGAGAGAGAGAGAGAGAATCTAAGGCATTCTTGAAGTGAGAGTGAGAAAGAGATGGAGAGGAAGACTTACACACTGGCATCCTCTCTACCCAAGAGCTTGACAGGAGTCCCAGATCTCGGAGAAACCAGGCTCGTCTCTGATAACTCATCCAAACCCATTATTCGACCTGGCCACCATGACCCATTTCGCCTCCTAACCCAAACCAGACCTCCAACAGTTGCATCGATCCCCTTCAAATTATGCTCGCTCTGACCCATTTTACCAAAACAATCTAAAACCCCTTATATTCTTCAAATAAAATTCTCCAATTTCTCAACCCATTTTCGATTTTGCGACATGCACTGCAAGCAAGCTCAAAAAATCATTACAAAAAGAAAAATATCAAATAGCATGAATTTCCCTAAGCTAGACCTAGATAAAACCTTATTTCTTAAAGAGGAGGTCTATAGCGATTAAAGAGAGAAACCCAATAAAAAATATAGTTTTCAGCCTGGTAAACGCAGACAGACAACGCTCATTCAAACTGTGGCCTAGAACAATAGTGGAGGAAGAGAGAGAAAGAGAAATCCACCACATGATTAGATGCCAAGGATCACAACGAACAAAGACATTATTTCTGAGCATTAATGAAAATGTACATTATCTCGTAGCAAAATTACCAGAGAGAGAGAAACACAAACAGACCAGAGCTGGAGAGAGACAGAGAGAGAGAGAGAGAGAGAGAGATTTCTAACGAAAACCATACTGTTGAAAGAGATATTGGTGTGGATTTGTGTCAAAAGAATAGTGATTCTCGAGAGAGAGAGAGAGAGAGAGAGAGAGAGTAGAACAAATAACAAATTAACAAAAAGAAAATAAAAACAAACAAATAAACAAAGAGCAAAGAGAATGAATTGGGCTTAAAGTACCTGGTATTATTTGTGATTTACAGTTCCAGGTGTAATGGCGAGTAATTGGCCGAGCTTCTCTCTAACGTTGCATCTCTCTCTCTCTCTCTCTCTCTGTCTCTGCATATATAATGCAAAAAAGAAAGAAAGAAACTGACGGACGGTTTGGATTCGACGAAGCAAACGAGGGTCAATTTATAGCAGCCGTACAGATGCTGTGTAAGTATTCCGGACCGTCGAAATCGATTAACCTTTCTTCCTAATCGTCATTGCTGGTTCACACGCGTGTTTGCTGGCATGGTCGCCCGTGAGAGAGAGCCTGGTGATCTTTGCGAGCACCCGCAGATACTCTCGGGGAGCATACTGCACATTTCTTCCTCCGGCCAAGGACCAGAGATATTACGCATTTTTCTTATTCCAACTAAGGACAAGATAGATATTTCTAGGCGTGTACAGAGGCGATAGGAGTGGGAATGGGTTGGGCCAGGTTTGGGTCGGGGTAGACATCAACCCAAACTCAACCTGAGTAGGTTTGGGCCTATTGGACTCGGACCCAACCCATCGGGTTGGATTGGGTCTAGGTGAATAAATGAAAATGTACTTAATATTATTTCATAAATTGTGTATTATATAATTAAATACTATTTACACGTATAATTGAGGGATTGTTTACAAAAAAAAATCATTTATTTTTTATACATGGAGATTACAATCATTCACATTTATTATATATCAAATTTGATGGCTTTGAGTAAGCTACGAAATGCAAAAAAAAATTTTGATAAAATATATCCATATCCCTTATTTTTAGATTTTATTTCTTGATAAACTCAAGGTTTCAAAAGATATCTTCTAACCCCCTGGCCACTTTAAACTTATTTTTTATGAGAAAAACATGTTATTTCTAAACCCAATCATTTCTCTCTCTTCACTTATATACTCCAAACTTCTCTCTTTCTCGCTCTTCATGCGTCTCTCTCACTCTCTCCTCCTGTGTTTCTCCAAACGCCTCTCTCTTTCTTCCCAGTAACCTCTCACCTCCATGAAATCCTCTCTCTAGAAGTTTGGGATGATGGCTTATAGAAAATATATGTCTTTTTAGATTTGTTTGACCTAAAAAAAATATTTAAATTAGCTCAAGGGGTTAGAAGAAATAAAATCTACAATTTTTATACCCCAGTATATCTTTTAAAATATTGAATCTATTGTAAAATGAAATCTAAAAATAAAGGGTATGGAGATATTTTTTTTTTTTTTTTTTTGAACTTTGTATCTATTTAATGACCCTCTTACATCCACCCATTTTAAAATTTAAAGGATAAGAAGGATTGTGAGCTCTCGGTGCACAAAAGATAAATGGTCTCTTTGTAAACAATCACTATAATTAATTATTATTTATATATATTTTATACTAATATATATCAGGTCGGGTAGGGTTGATCTCAACACTACTTGACAGGATCAAAGCGAGACCCAAACATGACCCTGGTTGCCCCTCGTCCTCGTCGCGACCATCGGGACCCGATGGTGGGGGTCCGGTCTGAGGATGCTTTCTCAAAAGCCGCACGCCCATGTGGGCATGGTGGTGCAGCCAAAACCAGCAGAAATGAAAGATCTAGGGTGAGGTAGTACCTACCTCACATGGTGGGGGCGGAACAAACACTGACGTACGTGCCCTATTAGATTACAAAGAAAGCCCCACGACCTCTCAACTCAGTTTGGATCCTGCTCCCTTGCAACTCGTTATTTGCCTTGATTCACGCACCCTATGTAGACCTCAAGGTCGACTGCCTTTGGTTCGCCCTTGGATGGTTCTCTCTTTTGGTTGCGAGCTTTAGTGGTAGGTTTAAGAGGTTTGAAGAGGGGGTGGGGGGGTTGAATTCAGAGTTAAGTGGGGGCGAAGGCAAGGAAAGAGAAGAATAGATAGTAGAAGGAAGAAGAGAACCGTTTAATAATCTCGCAGCCTTCCAACGTTGCCTTCCTTAGGAGACTATCCCAGTTATCTGGAGAAAGGCATAAGGCTGAAGCCTATACATACCCTGGCGACAAGGCGAGAGGTACTACTCGCTTGGGAACTAAGCCCAAGCCTCTTGACCAATACTCAAGTCTCTTTAGAAAGCAGCGACGAAAGAAGGAGAAGAGATAAGAGATAAGAGACGATAAAAGGGAGGAATCACGCAATAATTTCGCAACCTTCCGATGTCTCCTCCCCTAGGAGGCTATTTTAGTTATTTGGATAAGGGCATTAGGCCGAAGCCTATAGATGCCCTGGAGACAAGGCAAAAGGTACTACTCGCTTGGGAACTAAGCCCAAGTCTCTTGACCAATGCTCGAGTCTCCTTAGAGAATGGTAATGAAAGAAGAAACAGAAAAAAAAAGAGATAAGAGGCAAGAAAAGAGACTGACCACTCAATAATCTCACAGCCTTCCAACGTCATCTCCCTTAGGAGGCTATTCCAGTTATTTGGAGAAGAGCACTAGGTCAAAGCCTATAAATGCCCTGGAGACAAGGCGAAAAGTACTACTCACTTCGGAACTAAGCATAAGTCTCCTTAGAGAATTGTAATGAAAGAAGAAGAGGGTCAAAGAGATGAGAGAGAAGAGGAGGGAGAAGAGAGAGAAGACGAGGGATAAAAGAGAAAAGAAGAAGAGAGAGAGAGAGAGAATGGAGGCTGGCGGTGTAACCGCTTGCCTCCTAGAGGGTGAGAGAGAGTGAGAGAGGGGAGAAGAGAGTGATAGAGAGAGAAGAAAGAGAGAGTGAGTGAGAGAGAAGAAGACAACGATATATATATATATATATATATATATATAGAGAGAGAGAGAGAGAGAGAGAGAGAGAGAGGTCGTACGTGTAGGTAGACGACGAGTAGTACGTAGACGACGACGTAGGTCGTACGTAGTTACGTTTACGTTACCGTACGTTCGGTTCGTTCGA